TATGCATCAACGAGGGCACGGACAGGTCTATATTTGCCTCCTTGGTGAATGAGATTAAACACTTGATGTCCCTTCGTACAACTAGTGTTTTTCATATCAATCGTAGCCAAAATGTGGCTAGCAATTATTTAGCTAAATTTGCGAGAACTGAAGGTAGAACAGTAGTTTGGTTGGGCTCTGGTCCCCCACAGGTTGTGGACTTGTGTAAACTGAATTGTAATTTCCTGGATCCTTGATTAATACAAGTCTTACTCGCAAAAAAAACGAGGGCATTCAAATCGCAATGTCTTGAGTTGTATTTCAATAACTATAATTAGGAAATATGTTCACTCATAGGAAGCCTAATTAATTAGAAAATATACGGTACTTTTGGTACATGTATGACTCTTGTCGTGAAATCCGATATAGGGTGTTGTGTTTGGCCCACAATATTGATTATAGTACTCGTTGAACATAAATTTGGCGTGTACAGTTGGGGTAAAACATATATTATACTCTTTAGTTACGGGCACTATACTGAAGGACTAAACACATAGACACATAAAGGGACTCTCTGGTTCAGAAGATTTCTGAAGCATATGGCTACGACAAACATAACAATTGCATGTCATGGCATGTTGAGTCATACTACATGAATTAAAATTACGACAGTGTGTAATAGATTGTTTGGTTGCCCGGAAGGAAAAACACATATATATTTTTCTGGAGGACTGATGTGCCACACGTATGTCATGTTTATCATAGAAAACAACAAAAAAAGTTCATCAGGTTGAACTAAAAAAATAGTTTGAGAGTATATACAAAATAGGCCTTATAATACAAGTGTAGTGTTTTGATGCTCTCCTTTTTGAAACATTCAACAATGGCATTTCAAAGTTTCAAAACTTTTCGGAAAAAAACACCTATTTTGTCTTTTTTGTTTAACTCGCGCGTCAATGAAGTTTGTCGTGAAAACTTGCACACGTGAAGTATATATCCATATGATACTGTGGGGTTTTTTCCCCATAATTTTTGAAGCATCGAAGCATTTTTTATTAAAAAATCAAAAACAAAAACGAGCTCCATGGAGGACGAGCGCCAAAAGACATTTATGTTGTAAGAACACCGATGGTTCTATTCCTGCAATGCAAACACATCACCTAGCAAAATTTCTAAGAAACGTGATCCTACAAGAATTCTCATGCTCAGTAGCTCATGAGCGATTTGACAAGAAAGAGAACCAACATCGAACATCATATCTATCACGATGCGCTGATAAAGTTGACTATCATGTTTATGCTCGATTATAGGCACAGTAGAACCGACCTCAAATGTAGTGTGTGTGCTTCACTTCGACTAAGCTTCAGCATGGATGATGTGTGGGATGGCAACATTTTTCTTAATTAACGACATGAAGCAAAGTTTTTGCCTCCACTTCAAAAAGCTATGCATCAACGAGGGCATTCAAATCGCAATGTCTTGAGTTGTATTTCAATAGCTAATTAGAAAATATGTTAGCTCATAGGAAGCTTAGTTAATGAGAAAATAGACGGTACTTTCTTTTAAGATAAAAGTACTTTTGGTACATGATATGGCTCTTGTCGCGAAATCTGGCATAGGGTGTTGTTTATGGCCCACAAATGTTGATTATAGTACTCGTTGAACATAAATTTGGCATGCGTGATTGGGGTACAACATAGATTGTACAATTTACGGGCACTATACTAAAGAACTAAACACATAGACGCATGACGGGCCTCTTTGGTTCAGAAGATTTCAGAGGCATATAGCTATTTCAAACAATGTCATGGCGCGTTGAGTCATACATGAATTTAACACACGGTTGTGTGTAATAGATTGTTTGGCTGCCCAGCATGAAAAACACATAGTTTTTTTCTGAAGGACTGATGTATCATGTATGTCATGTCTATCATAGAACCGACAAAAAAATTCCACGAGGTTGAACTAAAAGTAGATTGAGACTACATTAAAAAATGGGCTTTATAAAACGAGTGCCGCATTTTGATGCTCGGACTCCTTGGACCCCTTTTTTTTTAACTTCCAAAAATCGCATTTCAAAGTTTCGGAACTTAAAAAAAACACCTATTTGTCTTTTTTGTGTACCTCGCGTGTGAATGTAGTTCGCCGTGAAAACTTGCACGCATGAAGTATACATCCATATGACACTTTGATGTTTTTCCCCAGAATTTTTGAAGCATCGAAACATGTTTTTTATATAAAAAATCAAAAACAAAAATAAGCTCCATGGGGCCCGAGCACCAAAAGACATTTCTGTTGTAACAACACCGATGGTTTTATTCCTGCAATGCAAACATGATACCGTAATCCTACAAGAATTCCTATGAAATTTTGTTGAACCAAAGAGGCCATTAAAATCTAACCAGTAAACTCTTTGGTCTGTTTCAAGATAATTTGGCACTTGCAAGACAAGATCGAAACATCATTTTGTTCTTATCCGATACACGAGGCCAAAACCCCATCTCATCTGGCAAACTGGGCGTCCGTTTTTCGAACGAAACCCACGTCTGAAAACGAAGCGCTTCTCTCTCCTTTTCGAAAGGGGGAGTAATAAGCGCCGGTGCGCCGGCCGAAAGTTTCGGCCGGTCGCCTGCCAGCCGTGCGATACGAGTCATGTGGGTCGTGCGATTCTGGTGCCGTCCTCGTAATATAACTGCTTCGCAGAAAGAAAGAAAAGAAAAACTGACCCTGACCTCGTCAAACCGTCTCAAATCCAGGCTCGGGCGTGCTCCTTATCGCCGCCTGCTTCTAGCACGTAGTGCGCGCGCATCGGTGCCGCACTTTTAGGCTCCATCGTGCGCCGCCGAATCCAGTTGTAGCATTTGTGGCCCTCGCCGAGCTAGCACTATGCCGCCAGCGAGCTCGTTGCTCTACGCTGCCCCCGTCGTAGCACCGGCCGTCGAGCTCGCGGCACACATTGCTGCAGTCGCCGGACGTACTCCATAGCTCGTCATCGTCCTGCTCCATTAAACGCATGCAGCAAAAAAAGCTCATTAGTCCCAGCGAAAAATTGTTAGGTCAGTGCTGGGACATGAATGGTTGAAGCTTTCTTCATCGTCGGTTGTACCTTTTGTCACCAACAGTTGCAGCTTCTCATCGCCGTTCATAACTTCCATAGTCTATGTTGAAGCTTTTCTCGTCGACGGTTGAAGCTTTTCTTGTCTCTGGTTGAAGCTTTTCTCATTACCGTTTCCAGCAAAAAAAATCGTTGTAGCATCTTCTTCTCGACCACCCCGATCACCGGTGGCAACTTTTTCGCCGCGGGTTGTAGCTTTTTGTGTCGCTGATCGCAGCTTCCTCCATGCCGGTTGTAGCAATTGGGATCACCGAGCGTGCTTTCCCCCCGGTTGCAGCTGCAACTTTCCCATGGCCGGTGGACGCTTCTGCCATCACCGGTTGCAGCACCCCATGATGCCGCTTCCAGCAAAATGCACAGCTCGTGGTTACCGCTGATGTAGCTCGTGGTCACCGCCAATGCATCCCATGACAACGGTTGAAGCCTTTTTTGCTTGCTGGTTGTAACTTTTGCCGTAGCCCATTCCAGTTTTTTTCATGGCAATAGTTTCCGCCGTTCTCCGACGCAACAAAAAAACTCGCCGGTCCCAGCAAAAGCTCCTGCCGGTTGTAGCCCTGTGTTATGCAGGTTGAAGCACATCGACTCGCCGCCTATGCCATACAGCGTTCACGCTTCAGTCATCTATGGGTGCCCCCAGTTTTGCAGACGTCGGTGGTCATCTTTCCCAGCTCCGGCGGGTGCCGTCGTTTTGTTGGATCTCCTGCTGACGGCCATGGCATTCGTAGCAAAGGAGCAGCGCGAGGTGTGCAGGATGGACACTGGGCAGAGAGATTTGGGGAGGGGAAGACGAGTCAAAGGTGGGAGGAGATAAAACGAATCTGTCATTAGGTGGGCCTCCCTCGGGCCTGCATGTGCGCAGCCAATTAGGCGCGCGCGAGCGGGAGCGTCCGGCCGAGCGTTCCGCCGGCGCACCGTTCCCAAACGATTACCTTTCGAAAGAAAGGTACAGCACTGGCTGGCATGGGGCGCTCCTCTTTACCCGAAAGGAGCGGACCGGGCCGGCCCCATCCACGCCCGCTCGCCAGCACAGCCAGCGGGCGCGGGAGCAGAGCAGACGACAGCCGAGGACGGAAGGAAGTCGCTGGGCGCCAATCCCGACACCCCCTCCAACGCTTGGCTCACAGCCTAGCCAGTAGCCAGCCCCACACTCCCATCGCACACCCCACCGGTGCGGTGCCTCGCTGCGCGGCCGGTGGGTGACTGGTGGGCGTGCCGGATGGGCAGGGAGACCGGCCGTACTCCACCACCACACCTGCCATTGCCATGCCCCCACCCCTCGTCCTCCCTCTTGCCGTGCGTTTCCTGTTGCTTCCCTTCACAAGTCCTTCTCCTTCAAAAAAAAAAAATTGGCAAACTTGACTAGTTGCTCCTTCAAGGATCCAAGGGCCAGGCCAAATGATACCTCGCAAAATTGCTTTGGATTTTGAAAATCACAGGTGTAGACAGCGCTCTTTGCTCCGAGTATTTGCAAAAGCAGGTCGCATGGCAATGATACGTTACACACAAAAAATGCTTTGAATCACGGGTTCATGCCAGTCTCAGTCGCAAATGAGTACTACTGCCAGTTCATCTTTTCACGTCTTGCAAAAGGACTTGCGTTCTACTACAAAGGTCAAACTCGAAATGGAGTTAGTAGTAGTAGATGATCACAAAGGCTCTCAGTTTCATTTGATTCATAGAGGGAAACAGCTAGCAAAGGAGGCTAAAAAGTGGAGTAGCCAACTAAAAAATCACAACCACACCACACTGCCGCTCACAAAAAAGAAGGCGATCTGAACCAAAATCGAACTACTACGGCCGCAACCAACTAAAGAACCAGCTAAGTTGTCTTCTAAGTAGATTCTCGGCTACTATGTACAGTTTGCTCGTCGGAATGACATGTTTGCCGCCCGGCCGCCGGCGGCGGTCACCGGAGGACGTCGGACCGCAGGTGCGAGAGCTCCTTCCTGAGCTTGTGCGAGAAGAGCCTGCACGCGTCCATGCTCAGGTCCACGGCCGCCGCCAGCGCCACGAACGCCGCCGCGTCCTCGGCGCACCCGACGTGCGCCACCCCGACCTCCACCGTGGGCTTGCTGCACCGGCCCTCGCCTTCGACCGAGGCTGACATCACGAACCCGCGGTAGTTCCCCAGAGGCCACTGGCTGAAGTCTCCGCTGCCGCGCGGGCTGCAGCCCGGGGTGCTCCCCCGGCTCAGGGGCTGCGCCGCGGTCAGGTCGAGCGCGAACTTGCCGCCCTTTGACGCGGCGATGGTGGAGTCCGCGATGGGGACGGCGTGGTCGACGCCGGGGACGAGGAGGTCGAAGCGGTAGCCGAGGCTGTCGGACGACCCCGCCCCGCCGCGCTCGCGCCAGCACTCGAGGCGTCCCCACGGCTCCCACGCGCCGTCGCCCGCGGGGCGGAGGATGAGCCATGCGCCCGGGTTGGAGCGGCTCACGCGGTCCGTCCCCGGCGAGGCCACGAAGGGCGTCACCATGGAGGCGAGCGCGACGGGGGAGCCCGAGAGGTCGTGCACCGTGACGGACCACCCCTTGCGCTCCTTCCCGGCCGCCTCCTGCTCCGTCTGCGCGGCCGACCTCCGCAGGTCGCTGTTGGTGCGGCAGCCGAACTTGCAGGTGAACATGGGCTGCTTCATGCTGCCCCGGACCTGCATCACCTGCGGGCTGCACTCCGGCTCGCCGTCGAACTCGAACACGAACCGCGGATCAGGCTCCGCGCGGACGGTGAGGCTGAGCTCCGCGGCCGCGGACCCACCACCCTTGCCGCCAACGCCGCGCCTCCCGACGGAAATCCAGCCGCTGTGCAGCACCGCGGGCTTGGCCTCGGCGCCCTTGAGATCCAGCGAGATGGTGGCCTTCCCGAGCAGCCGCCCGGAGCTGACCCCGCAGGTGGTGCCCTTGCGGCCGGCGTAGACGGACACCTTGAGCGTGGCGGCGCCGCGGGAGGGGGAGAAGAGCGAGGGCTTGCGGGCGAACCACTCCAAATCGGCCTTGGAGAGGTGGAAGGCCGCGGCGAGTGCGCCGGAGGGCGGCTGCTCGGCGGCGTCGGAGAGCACGAGCGGGGCGGCGGCGGTCTGGCAGGGCATCTTGCCGAGGCGGATCTTGATGTAGCAGGGGGAGGTGGAGGGGTGGACGCCGGCGCCGGCGCCGGCGGCGGGCGGCGCGACCGGCATTCTGAGGGCGAGGTTGCCGACCAGCACCCGCACGAACGGGCACGGGTCCATGGCGGCGATCGGTCAGGTGGGGTGGGCGGATCCGCGGCGAGCGGAGGGGGCGAGGCGAGGGCGTGGCCTTGGCTCGGCTTGGAGACCCCGGGAGATAAGGTGGGAGGGAAGGAGAGAGATTGGCGGGTGTATACTATATGGGACGGGGGGCGCGCGGCCAGGCTGGATCCTGCTGCGCCATGGCTGTAACCGTACACACACCACACCAGTCAGACCCGGCTCTGCTGGGGTCGTGGTGTCAGTGAGGGTTCGGGGCGGGGGGTGAGGAGCGGGGTGGTGTGTGTGGGGTGAAGGGCGTGGGCGGGGGTCGAGCTGGAGCTTCGCCTTCGACGGATGGATCCGAGAGTGGTTGTGCGGATGCCGCGCTGTGCCAGACGTTTTGTTTGGTTTGGTTTCATTCCCTCTTTTTCTGAGTAAATTGCACAGAAATACTATAATTGGAGCATTGGAAGTAGATTGGTATCAAGTTTGGTAATTTTTACATGTCAGTACCAAGTCTGGGGCTATACGTTACAAAAAGGTCTAAATCGCGTATAAACACGTATTGACAGTGTATCTGACCGGCGGGGCCCGCCTGTCTGCTGCCGACGTGGCATTTTTTTGCAGAAAACCCCCCGCACCTCCTTCGTCCTCACGCGCGGCGGCGCTCGATCTGGATCGAGGGGAGGAGCCCCTCGAGCCCGAGCTCCTTCGCCTCCCGTAACCCCAGCCCGCCCCGGCCTCCTCCTCGCCTCGCCGTCGGCCGGCCACCGGAGCACCACCAACGGCGACTAGGACCAGGCCGTCCCCGGACCGTGCCTCTCTCCTTCTCTTCCTTCTTCTTCATGGACGCCATCAGCGGCAAGGCGCTCACGCGCGTCACCTGCGCGCTCGTCGCCTTCGTCGTCCTCGCCGTCGGGGTCACGCTGCTCGCCCGTCATCACATCTACCGCCCGCCCCTCGGCGTCACCGTCGAGGACGCGGCCCTCGCCCGCCTCGCCCTCGCCGACAGAAACGCCACGGCCACCGCGCTCGCCTGCGACGTCTCGCTCGCCATCGCCCTGCACAACCACCACTGGCTCAGGCGCGCCGAGCACACGGCGCCGCTCGACGCGGAGCTGCTCTTCGTCGGCGCGTGCTTCGCCCGTGTCGCGCCTTCTTCCTGGACGCCATCGGCGGCAAGGCGCTCACCGAGGCAGTAGCAGCAGCAGCAGGGAGCGGAGGCGTCGCGGCGGACGCAGCTGCAGGAGTCGGCGGAGGCGCGCGCGGCCGCGGCGCCGCAACGGAGGGGGGAGAGGCCACGACGCGAGCAGAGGCCGCGGCGGCGCGAGCAGGGGCAGCTCCGGCGCGAGCGGGGGCGGCGGTGATGCGAGAGGAGCTCGGGCTCGAGGGGATCCTCCCCTCGATCCAGACCGGGCGCCGCCGTGCGGGGGTTTTCTGCAAAAAAAATGCCACGTCGGCAGCTGACAGGCGGGCCCCGCCGGTCAGATACACTGTCAATACGCGTTTATACGCGATTTAGACCTTTTTGTAACGTATAGCCCCAGACTTGGTACTGACATGTAAAAATTACCAAACTTGATACCAATCTTCTTCCAATGCCTCAATTGTGGTACTTCTATGCAATTTACTCTCTTTTTCTCGGCTGTGAGTGGGGCCATGCACGCAATGGCTGGGCCAGCTGGCAACTGGCTGGTTTAGCTGGGGTTCCACTGTCAGTGCTAGCGTACTGTATGTGAGAGGAAGAATGTCTTTCTGCAAGGTTGTTGATGTATTTTACTCGTATATTCGTAAAAGAAAATACGTAGCAATGTTACAGTGAATGCTCCAAAACATTGGGTATTTCAAATTGATCAAGAAAATACAGGTTGCATGCCCAAAAAATATGCAATTGAATTTGTATTGGAATCAGTTTTAAAGTGCATGACCTACAATGGTCAAATTTGATGTTGTCTGTGCTTTTGTAAATTGGAAGGGGATAGGTTGTATATATGTTTGTTTGCATTCGTAAAAGAAAAGAGCCAATACTTACAGTTGGTAGTAGTACACAACATTGGGAGTATTGTTGTATAAACTCGGAAATTCTCTTGCCGTTTCTACAAAATAACAAAGGATGTGCAAAAATATCCGTAGACGTATACATATAGCACTTCCTTGTTGCAAGTGTTCAAACCCTAGGTTCGATGTGATATGTGTCTCTTTGTTTTAAGGATAATACTTGCATTGCTCACAATCAAGAATTCAAGGCATGGCTGACAATGTCGAGAAGTTCATTTGGACCAAAACCCAAGCCACACAACTGTTCGGCATTGTGATCTCCCAAAAGTTGCCAGGAGATGGCTAGCATAATTTTGTGTGTGGCAAACAAGAGCAATACAAGAACTATACTCAATCAAATTTTCTTTGATCTCCTTTATAAAAAATGCATGTTTTGATCTATTGGTATATGCATTTTGCACCATCTTGACTACTTCCAGACTGTCGGATTCAACATCAATTGGTAGGTTGCTCCACAGCAGGGCGAGCATAAGTCCTTCCCGTATAGCAACAAACTCAGCCGCTAGAACATCATCACAATCAAATAAATACATGCATGAGCTGAAGATAAAAATTACTTCCAACTTCTCTGAAGATCATTCTTGTTCCGCGATCCCATTTAACACAGGCTCATCTGTGTTTAGCTTCACACGTCCCGCCGTCAGGGGAGACCACGGGCTAAGAACCGGACACTTTAAGGTGGGAAGAGCTTTTGAACTATGTGTCATACTCATCAATTAGCTCATAATTTGTTCATCACTTGTCTAAATTTAACGCTATATTTGTACTATGGTGTCGTACGTCAACCCGCCCCGCTTACATCCCTAGTACCCACATGAATCTTCAAGCTTTTGTTACCCTGATCTTGTGTGAGCGTGTGAACATGTGCATCTACACGTTGTGCATGAGTGCATAGTATTGCTTACACATCGTGACGTCCTGCTAGCAGCCTAGCAAGAAAATGTCGCTGCTTCTATGGCGTCACTTTCATGCCACGCTTGCATCATGTGGGAATACTTATCCATTATTTTGCCTTGCCACATTATCTAAAAACATTTTTTGCCAAGCTATATCAACAGAAATCTTTGGCAAGATCGGAATTTAGCTTGATATCTTCCAAAATACCTAGTCTCCCAACACAAACATAGCAAATATAGCTGTAATGACTCAAGGCATTTGTCCCAGAAATTAAATAATTAAATAAGTTCGCTATTACATTAACACAGTCAAAGCATGAGTATGATCGCATCGGAAAAGCAGTAACCACCACTAGCTCAAGGCCAGCTATAGCATACACCCCCTCCACCTGGGATTATCAGTATACAAATGATCACTATTTTACTACAGTCTACAGCAACGGGATCGCAGCTGTGCCAGCGTCGTGTGGACTGTAGAAGTGCGGCAGTAGAAGTGTATTTTCGCGCTGGCGCCGGAAGCATTTCACGTTGGGATCTCAGGTACCCGGCGTCGTCGCTTGCGGATCGCTGTCATGTGCAGCAGGGCGACAGCGTGCGGCCTGCGAGCTTGCACGAGCGCCCGCACGCCGAATGTTTTCAAGAAGAAGAAGAAGAATCCAATGCTAGCTCCAAGCGGGCCGCACGACCCATTCACCCATCCATCCACAGTTGGTGGGTGTGTGTGGGTGTCAGTCAGCTCACTCGCCCACTGCCGTGCCCGGCTGGAATCCAGGTATCGCCGCACGGAACACCCTTTTACTAATCCCGATCGATCCGGCGCATGTGAGAGAGCACAGCGCGGCAGAGAGAGAGAGAGAGAGAGAGAGGAGATGAACTGCACGCACGGGCGCCGGAGCAATTGGCATTAGAAAAGCGTCCTGCGCATGCCGACGTGCCGTGCCGCGCTGTCATGTGCAGCGCCCCGCACGGTGGATGGCCTGCACATATCCGTAAGCCGGCGTTAATCATTCGTTTCCCCCAGCGCCATAAACTAATCCGAACCACTGTACTCTATCGTCCACGGGTGCAGCTCTTCTCGCCCACGGAAAGCGGTGCGCGGGCCCGCATGGCAGCGAGAACATGTGCGATCTTGACGGATGAAGGAGGAGGAGCCGTGGTGGAGCGGTGCGCTGGCTGCGGCGTCGTTGGAGTCCAGGCTGGGGACAGCTGGGGGGGATGGGCGCTATCCGCCTCCGGAATTCAGATTCCGATCTCGCCTCGCCCCCGATAAAATTCCAAGCCGCGATTGGCCGATCGCGCCGGGACGGGACGGGGGCCTAGTGGGTGCGCGGCGTGCTGGACTGCGGGCGCGCCATGCGCTTCGACCACCTGTCCCAGCGGAGCGCCCGGGCCGTTCCGATGGATTTCCGTGGAGTGCTCCGGAGCCCGGACCGATGGCGAAGCTTCCCCGCCCTGCGTCTGCTTGGTGCGGTGACGCCGCGACACCTGTGCTGTGGAATAACGGCGTGTGCGTCACATGGATGATCGTGGACTCGTGGTCGTCTTTTCTCTTCTCCACGGGCTTGTCACGTTACGGGAGGGCTCATCCGGTCCAACAGTTCTTGTCCGGCTGCACCGGCGATCACACGCCCTCCTTCCTTCTCCCACATCGCGTCGCCACCTAGGTTAGCACATAGGCTGGCCCTCTGATTCTAAAGTGATGGGCACGTGAAGGTGGGTGGGCAATCGGGCAGCACACAAGTTTGCGAGTCCATGACGAACCACTTCGTTGCACTCTGCCATTAGGTGATTCTTCAGGCCTGTAGGCCAACCAGTTTAGAACAAGAGGGGAGCGGGAAAACTGAAATTCGTCTTGGAAAAGTGCTAATGCGGGGTTACGTTTTACTTACTAAAAAGAACAATTTTTATCCAGACACTGCTCTAGTAGGTTGAAATTCGTAGGTGAGGATCCGAATAATACTGTGACATGGCTACACAATGGTGCACTCAGGTTGGTAGGTTGAGCAGCATGACATGATAAGAGGAGATAAGATCATGAGAAGAGAAAGGATAAGAGTAAGTGAGCTTAGCTACGACTCTCGGCTCAACATTCCAGGTACAGATACGTGTGCCGACCTCAACTGTTGAGCTGCCGCTGAGGATCAAGCTCGACGAGCTGGGGCTAAGGGTGAGGGAGGTTGGTGATGAGGACGATGGGGAGTCGGTGAGGAGTAGGAAGAGCTCGTCGGCTAGCCACTAGTGTAAGTGCATCAAGTGCCTTCTTTAGTGGTTTTTTAAGTATCAAAAACAAATAGGTTGAGGGACTAATGTGTTTGCGAGTATACACAGGAATTATAGTCCCTGAAGATTTGGTTTAACCCATGAAAGACGATCTCTAAAAATATATTTCTAAGTGAAGAAATTGGGGAAGAATCTTTATGATCTACATAATTAGTCGTTATGGCGCACAATTCACATGTGTGTCCTGGGACGTAATAAAATAGTGTTCAATTAAAGATGGATTATATTGTGATTGTTAATCGCATCTGGACTCTATTTAGAAACAAGTTAGTTTAAACTTGGAAGCTTATCTGCATATAGATTAAGCCTCTGGAATTAGTAGTATAAGTAGGTCCCACCCTCTAGCATCGAATCGCATTATGAGCGGCACCACCGATAAGGCGGAGGAATAGAGAATAGGCCTAAACCTAACATTGGTATCTCGAGCGAGGTTAAGGGTTAACGATGTACCGCCGGCGACGATCGCGGCGTTCGCGAACTCGGTTTCGATCTCAGCCGCCTCCACTTGAAGGCGCGCCCGTAGCCTCACGCCACCGCACCTCGCCATCACATCGCACCTCCTCCTTGTTTGCGGACCATGGAGGCGGATATGGCCGAGGCACCACCTAAATGGTTCCGCTGGCACAATGTGGTTGCCCTGCCATTCGGCGGTCTCCGATACCGGCGAGGTTGCGGTCACACGGAGTGATCCACCGACCCCAACAAATCCTAGTGCCATTAGCGCCATGGATTCCCGCCGGATCGATGAAGACCGCAGGAGGATGCACTCCTCCCGGGATCATCGGAGAGCAGCAAGACAACCATCTGCTCCTCAAGACTGCAAGGGATGAGCTCAGAGACCTCGAATCTAGACATCTCAAAGTCAGTTCCGGTGACCGCCATGAAGGACTACGTTGGAGCTCGCCAGAAAGGAACTTAGGTATTGTGAGAGGGGAGTGGAGTGGAGCGAGGCTAGTGTTTCATCCATAGTGCGAATAGGGTCTAATTTATTCTAATTTATGTGGCGTCGGCCACAGTTGGCCGAATCCGACATGACAGGCGCGTCAAGGAGTCCTTATAGCCGCTACACATATGGGCTGGATATGGGAAGTGTCGACGAGGCGTTTCGACCGGATTTGCCAGCAGCGGTAGGGTGGCAATTTCACAACCGGTCAGTGACCGGGCAGCCCATCCGATTTTTAGGACGATACGAGGGGTCAGGTTGTATCGTATCCAAAATGCATCGGCCAAGTATACATAATAGACATCCGTATCAGATACTCCCTCCGTTTTTAAATATTTGTCTTTCTAGTGATTTCAAATGGACTACCACATACGGATGTATATAGACATTTTTAGAGTGTAGATTCACTTATTTTGCTCCATATGTAGTCATTTGTTGAAATCTCTAGAAAGACAAATATTTAGGAACGAAGGGAGTACATTATATCCCATACAGATACACTGGTTCTATGAAGTATCCATGCATCCTACTCTAGATCACACAGCAAATTCATATGCAATCGTATTCTACTCTTTTTTTTTTGAGGGAAAGCTTTCTACTCTCTTTTATGAGGTACACTAAGCATTCTACTTTATTCAGGAGGTGACCAAAGAATAACGGAAATGTTAACGCCCACACGTGTGGGCGTTTGCACATCGCCCACACGCCTCCATCACCACTCATTTTGCCACGTATGCATAGATGACATAAGCAGAATTTTTTTTGATTTTCGGCTTAAAAATGTTGTATCTCCTAAAAAAGAAAGCGAAATAAAATTCCGTTTTCACCATTAAATTCGTCTCGATGAGATCTTCAAAACTAGACCCCATGTTGATATGTTTCGATGAATTATTTTTTTGCCAAAAGTTGTCACGATGTTAACACTAGTTGCCATAGGGCTTAAACTAAAGTTGCCATGTGGCAATTTTAGTTTGTAGATCATGGCAATTTTAGTTTGTAGATCATGGCAATTTTAGTATTTTGATGATGAGAACTCCAGTACTTTGACCATAAAAATTATTTTTTGTATAAACCATGGCAATTTTACGTACATGTATCATGGCAATTTTAGTTTATAGTTAATCGCAAGTCTAGTTTCTTAATTCCCCGTTTTATAAATGTCAAAATTTACTTTTAAATATAGAAGAAAATAGCTGAAACATATCATGGCAACTTCAGTGTAAACATCATGGCAATTCATATGCAATAGACATGACAACTTTTAATCAAAAAAAAAATTCATCAAAACATATCAACATGGGATCTAGTTTCGAAAATCTCGTCGCGAGGGATTTAATGGTGAAAACGGATTTTCAATCGAATTTTTCGTTTAAGAGATAAAACATTTTAAAAACTGAAGATCCAAAAAAAATTCCTGCATCCATGCATGCGATGATGTGGCAATCTGTTTACATTAGAGACGTATGATGCGTCTCCCTGCCACACATGTGGCAGTTAGCGCGACCCAAAAATAATTTCACCGATGAATGTTCACGCACAAATACAAAAGGACAACAGAAAGCACACCTAATCCCTGGAGACCCTCAATTTTGACAATGTGATACATGCTCAAACTTTGAGTGGGATACAGGTATCGTTGGCTGCCAGATCTGCGATTGGATGCTCCAGGTTTTCCACAATTGGAACAATAGGGTGGCAAAGAAATTGTTGGTATCCGACGAGTTCTAACCATTTGGGAGGTGGCAAAATATGGCCGGTAGCAGGACAGTCGCGCATCAAACTTATATACAACAGTGGATTCTAGGTTTTTCTATGTGACCAACTAATAATTCCACTAATGCTTGTTTTGACCCGCACCTAATACCCTAGAGAAGCTCAGCATTGACAAGTGTTATAGATGACCATTTAACAATTACAGACAGATTTTCTAGCTTAAGCAAAGTCAGGGCAGCCAAGGACAACTGTTCAACAAACAAAGAAGATCATAAACAATCACAGAGAGAGAATAGTAGAGCACAGCAGAGACTGATTAAGAACAGACGCCAGGCAAGAATAGGTATGAACACACGAGGAATATAAAATTAGAGCATCAAAACAAATGCATGGCCGGCCTTCGCAAGATAATAAAAATATAAGGATGCAGAGCAACCTTCTAACCATAATGGCACGCAGTAACAGAATTATCGGTTTCACATGCTCAAACAGCAGTCGCTAACATGGTTTCACGGTTTTGTCACCAGGATTCAAACATAATAGTAGTCCATTACATAGCTTATAGGATAAAGATCAGCCTCGATGAAGCACCACAGTTCGTTGATAATTTCCTAGTCCTTGCTTCCTTTGAGGTTTCCATTCTTAACGGTACTGTTAAACAAGAGTGCAAATTCAGAGATTGATATAAAGAGATTGGGATATGGAAAATAGAAGGCATACAATAAACTAGTCACACACAAACATTCAGGTATTCAGGCACAACAGCATATGCATCTGAAAAATAATTTACCCAAACCTAAAAATTGAAGCATAAAACTATAGTTAATCAGATAAAAGTGGAAATGGAAACAATATGGAAAATCATCTCAATTTTCTACAAAATCATAAAAGTACAAGTTGTTGCGCAAGTATATGCCTACATAATAGATATTTGCACAATTGCAATACACTCAATGTGTCATGCATTGAAATGGACCGGTATGCTTGAAAATACTTAATCTAATGCTTAGTAAAAAAAGTTGAAACTGTGGACAGATGCAACAGACTTAGACTTATATTGGAGAGAACAACAAACGGAGCTAGTATCATGTAGTCATGCACAACCCTGTCCATTCCAAGATGCCTTACGGTGCCTAGAAATTGCACATTGATCAAACAAATACAAAACATTGCAAGGTAGAACATGAGGTGATGATTGGAAAACTTGACCAGGTTTGCTCTGTCAAGAGGGGCGACACACAAATCTAATCTGAATAAGTGAATCTAACATAACATACAATGCACCACAGTATGTAACAACACGCTACCAGATAGTAGTTCTCTAACAAATTAAGACTGGTTCACCATACCAAGAGAGGCCTTGCAGACAAAGCATATACGTATATTATTCAAAGCCAAGCATGGGGACATATACTAGTATTACTCGCCAGCCATCAAATTCAAGCGCAGATTCAGGAAATCCATAGACAGTGTGGCGTCGGATACCTTGATGAAGCCAATGTCCTTGGCGTTGCTGCGGAAGCACTGCCTGCAGCACATCAGCCCGTACTTGCGGATCAGGCCATGCGAGTTGCCGCAGACACGGCTGCAAGAAAAGATCCAAACCACCATGGGTCAGGGCATAAAACCATCAAACAATCCCGAGGCGCGTGAATCTTGCGCATCGAAAACACGAGTATATAAGATTTAGAGCTAAGGTACGAGCTTGCGCCACGGATCTACAGCTGCGGACAGGAAGCGCCTCTTGCTACCGATCTACGAGAGGGCGGGGTACAAGTTTCCAATCGATCAAGAGTAGGGAGTAGAGAGAAGATCATTACCAAACCCTGGATCCGGGGCCGTAGTTCTTGGGGTGCGAGTTCCAGACGTTCGAGTGTCCCATGGCGGCGGCGGCGGCGGCGCGCAACTGGAAACCCTACCTTTTGCTCTCGCCTGGCTAGAATGAGGAGGTCGGGTAGCGGGGGCGCCGGGTTTTCTATATAGGCTGGCAGGCTTCACTTGCTGGGCTCTCACTTGTACACTTGCGAAACTTTGCCGATCGATGGGCTCGCGGATACATGGGCTGGCCTCACAGCCCGTATTTAAGTAGCCACGGCCCGGTAATTGGGGTGATCCATTTTTTTGGCCTCTTATGTTTTTCAAACTCCAAATTTCGTAGTGTTCTTTTTTTTTTCGCAAGAAAATTTCGTGGTGTTCTGTTCCCTCTTGGTGAACGACACCCACTGCAGACACGGCGTGTGATTTTAACGCTGCCTTCGGGAATCCCCGGTTTGCAACTGAAAAGATACTATCAACAAATACTCCTACTAACGATGCTTAAAACTGTCAAAAAAGGGGGAATTTCTAGAGATTGAAAGAGCAGTCATGTCTCTACACCGAGTTTCTAAATCTAGGGTTTTTATCAATTATGTCATTAGTTGTGTCCCACTACTCAGTTTTGTCATTAGAAGTTTCAACTACTAAAAAATGCCATCGATCCGTGAGATGTTTGCTAAAAGGTGCCATAAAATATCTAAAAATTACCATAATTTTGTTAGATGTTTGCTTAAAAATGTCATTAGACATTGTTATTTTCACGTCAAACCCGTTGACCATGTTATATGACAAAAATAAGCCTAGACCTACATATCAGTTCTCTCTATCTCACAATGATAAGTATGACCCCACTTGTCAGGAGTAAGCAAGCGTATAGTTTTACAGGAAAATAAGAACGTTGTTGGGATCAAGTGAGACCCACACTTGATTGTAGTGAGATAGAGGAAGAACTGGCATGTTGGTCCATAGGTATTTATATCATTATAACATGGCAAAAGAGATTTGTGATCACAACAATGGTGTCCAGTGGTATTTTTGAGCATGAGTCTAATGAAGCAATGACACTTTTGAGCAGTTGAAAATTCTAATGGTAGAACTGAGTAGTGGGACACAACTTGTGGCATAAATGTACATATAACATATTGTTTTGTAGGCTGATATATCAGTTTTAGGGCTCTACGGTTATAAATATAGCATATTGTTTTGTAAATATCATTTTCAGACATATTGTTTTGTTTATCCTGCCGCTTGATGGTGCTTCTATCACTTTCATCGTCGTGACGCACTACCGGTATGAAAAACATGCCTGCTCATGTTTTTGTTTTTGTTTTTGAATAAAGACACCCAGAAGGCTGTTGGAATCTATGGTATGGTGCGTCGACTGCAAATTTAAATTTTCCTACATGCAGAACAACCAAGAACATGCTACGGGAGATGGATCACAATTCGTTACCATTAGACGCGCAGTGCCGTGCACCGTAAGAAGAATTGGGGCAGCGCGTCCGCGTGGATCGTCTCCTTCTCGTCTGATTTCCCTCGAACAGCCGGTCGTCCGATCCCACGTACAAGTTCGCCGGAGCGGCGCAAGTGCACCGCATCTAACGGTATCCGTGCGTGCAGGAGGAACACCGTATGGCGTACTGTTAGGTCCGATCACAGTCGGCGGCGGGTAGAGGTGGCTATTCGCAACACATGCAAACCCTAGTGACAGCGCCAAAGCGATCAATCGCATGAGTGTGCCGCACCTCCACTTTATATAGGCGTCCGTCGCAGGCTCAACACTTGGGCCTCGCACGGACCCTAAAGCCCATAAGTCTACTCGACCACAATCCGAATACAGCTCGGATCACATTCGACCAGTGTCCTCGGATCCGACCTCATAGGTTCCTTCCCTTAAGCGCGTGAACCCAAGTCGGCTTGGTCACAGTTCGGATCATCTCTGACCTACACGGTTGGTAGCGGCCTCTAGCAAGGCGTGCCGACCACCAAGCAGACTATGAAGCTGGTTAGGTGAACCTGTACAACGTGTCACACTTCTGTTCCCTTTTCCGCACGATATATGTTGTCGGGCTCAAGGCGAGACTGTCATCCTTGTGCTAGCCCGACCTCTTTCTCGTTCCAGTGATACCCGACTGATAAGCATATTTCATATATACAATTTTGGCATTGAATTGTACCATTCATTGAGTTATGCCCATCTATTCTTGCTAAGTTTAGTTAAATATTTGCATGAAAATCATATAATGAATCATTTACTAGTCATTGTGTTTCTTTTGCAGAAAAGTTCGCAAAGGCACTGTATAACTTCAAGATCCGGACTAGTGGCTAAGAGAACCAGTCAAGTGAAAAGAAAGAAGAAAGACAGAGGGACTTGTATGTGAAGAATTGACGCTCCAGGGGACAAGTTAAAGAAGAAAGGGACCTTCTTGTGAACAAAGAAGAAAAGGAGAAGGGCCAAAATTGCAAAGTGGCAGATCTGAGGAGGGGTGAAAAATCCCTAGCGGCAGCCGATCCCCATCGAGGCCTGGCATCTCTATTCCCCTCACCCTCCTTCTCCACCTCCGGCCGCCGCCACGGCCAGGCCGGCGTGGTGGTGCGCCTCCCGCCTCATCATCCATCTCCATCCACCACTCCGCGACCCATCCATCCATCAGCGCCAGCAGCCTCCATCCACCAGCGCCCGCCATCACCAGCGTCCACCATCTCCAGTCACCGCCGCTATCAGCACCAAGCGCTACATTGCGCGACCCATCAGACGGGCGTCTGGCTGCCCGCGCGACTCTCTCCTCCCTGCTGCTTCTTCTCCCACGCCCAAAACTGCTGCTGCTCCTTCTCTCCACATCCCTGCTGCTGCACTTCTCGTCTCTGAATCTCCTTGCTGCTGCTCCTATTCCGTGTTGCTCCTTCTCCTTACACCTCCCTGCTGATCTCCATGCCCCTACTGCCCTGCTCTTGCTCCTCTTATCTCTTCTCAGTGCGCTCCTTCTGCTCTCTCAACCCTCCACGCCGCTGCTGGTCTGAACTACAACTATTGTTGCTCCTCTCAGCCTCTCTGCTGAACTGCCGCTGCTCCTCTCTCCTCTTCTTCCTCAAATCCTGCTGCTGCTCCTTTCTCTTCTTCTTCCTCAAATCCTGCTGCTGCTCCTTTCTCCCTAATTCCCCTCTTCTTCTAACCTTGTTGTTGTACTTTTCTGAACCTCTACTATTGTTGTTTCTCTCGTTATCTTTCTCTGAACTTTTCTGTAAGATGAGATGCTTAATGCTTTGAAATGTCCAGATTTGAACTAGTACTGTTATGCTTGATATATATGTTTAGTCCAGAGACATGTTGTTCTTGCTTATTTTGTAGCTGGGTGTGAATTAGTACTGTTGACACTCTCTTATGTGTTTGTGTTCACTAGTTGAACTGATCACCTATGTACTACTTGTTGTAGAAACTTGCTACATTTTATAGTCCTTGTGCTAGCTAGGTACCTGTGATTCAAGTGTTCGTGTTGTGATATATATTTGTTTTGTCCTACATATTTGTTTCTTTCCTTTGTTGAATGTTAAACATTTATATATATGTTCATGTCTTTTCAATTCCCTAGCCGTTGATGTATGCTTGTGTTAGCATTTTATTTCTCAACTGAAACAAATACACCAAAAATAATGCATTGAGTAAAAGCTGAATCTACCTTTGCTTATCTGCATTTTCTTTGGCGACAATCATGTTTAGTTTAGTTTTACTTTCTTGCATTCATCTCCCGAATCGTGTTACCTAGCTTTAGCCAAGCATTGTTGTTATCGCCTAGTCCCTGGGGAGAACACGACATCCATAGTTTGGGGCGTAAAAACCCTGCTATATTACTATTGATCATTTTGGCACCGTTGGCGGGGACTAGCATCGAGCGATTGTGTGAAGCTATAGACTAGACTTAGTATAGTTCTTGTTTAAATTTCCAGTCAAATTTATTTCTGTGTTTCTTTTACCTTTTTACTTTTTGTTGCTTCGGCTTATTAGGATACTAACCTTCTCACCAGAGCTTGATGTTTGTGAGCGTGTGTAGGATATCTTACTATTTGTAGGCTGATTGACAGTTGCGCTTGAACATATGGCTTTAGTACGTGATCTTTGGTTGCCAAGTAGTTTGGGCACGATGACAGGGCCAATTTGGCCATCTATTGAGGCCGAAAATTTTGAGTTGAGGCCTGGACTTATTGCTCTCATCTTGCAGAATCAGTTTAGAGGATTACCCAATGAAGACCCTCATGAGCACATTTGTAATGTCCTGGAGTATGCCAATACTGTCTAGTACCATGGCGTTTCCCAAGATGCTATCAAGTGTATGTTGTTCACATTCTCTCTCAGAGATGCTGCTAAGGACTGGTACTATTCTTTGCCATCAAGATCATACACTTGGGGTGATATTTCGCAAGCTTTCCTGCACAAATATTTTCCACTTTACAAGCAAGCTGCAATTCGTGACCAGATCCTTAGTTTTGCGCAAGATGGAAGTGAGAGCTTGTATGCAGCTTGGGAGAGATATAAGTATTTGCTTAGAAAATGTCCTAATCATGGGCAAAAGGATTGGTTAGTGCTCCAGATATTCTATAGAGGGCTGACACATGCTTCGAGAGATCTTATTGATATGTCCGCTGGTGGAACAATCATGAACAAGACCGTTGAGGGTGCAATTATTCTCATTGAGAGCATTGCCTTCCACCAAATGCAATGGGGTTATGAAAGGCCTAGTTCAAATCCGAAGGTTGCAAGCCATCTGCAATCAGAAGCTGTGTGTTCCATAAGTGAACAGAAATCATCCATGGTGCCTAATATTCAAAACCAGCATGTTCCATTCCGGGGACAACAACATTTCATAGCTGAATTAGATCCTCCATGTAGAAAGATTGATCTTACTTCAAGTATCCTTGATGATGATTATGATATTTTTCAAGATGATGCAACCATTGTAGATCAGATGGAAACCACAGTAGCAGATCCAATACCTCATGGCAATGAAACTGTCCAGACTGAGTCAAAGTTGCAAGAAGATGTTTATGAGGAACCTACTCTGATTGATGCTA